CTGGCCGCTGGTTCTCGTCGCCCAGGAAGGAAGTGGAGGAGGCTGCAGACACCGAGAAGGGTGTTGGGTCAGCAAAGTGCGGATGCTGCGACCATGATTTGTATTTTTTGCTGTGTTTTCAAAGTCCCATCATACCAAGATTATAAATTTCTCTGTATTTTCTGCTGGTACTTACATGACTTCTTATTCTATGTTTAAATTAATAATTTATTTGGAATACTTGGTGTATAGAGCGAAGGGGGAAAAATCTAATGGCATCTTCTATATTATGAGGAATCAATGAAAGTTCTAAAAGTACAATTATTTGTTTGTTTTAACTTTTTATTATGAATTAGGTTGGAGTTTAAGTATATATGTTTTTATAAGGTTAAATGAAGGGACAGGATATTAGAGCTAGAACATATAAAAAGAAAGATACTTTTACAATAGCTCAGGGAAGAATAACAAAGATCTAAAATGTGAATTCCTTCATACATATGCTAGAAAAAACCAAATAACTGGTAAGAATGGTTGACTTAAAGTGACTTAAAGAATGGTTGACTTAAAAACCCATGTGCCTTTTACACTTTTAATGTATCCAATTTTTAAAAGAACAATGGAATGCAGGCCAGAAAAATGCCTTTTGGGTGTCCATTATCTATTGGAGTGTCCAAATATTGATGAAGTGCCCACCGCATGCCAGATCTACATTTCCCAGTGGTTTCCAAGGCACTCAGGCATGCATGAAAACCTTTACCTGTATTTAGATGAGCCAGAGTTGACAGACTCTTTCTCTTAAACATTTCTGTGAGAATGCTGTCTCGGACTGCAGGAGCAGCTCTCACCCCGCACTGCTCTACGCTTTTATTTTTCTAATCACAAGGACATCAAAACCTTTAGTCTGCTGTTCTGTGTAGTTTGGCGTGGATAATTGGATAACTGCTGTATTTGCTAGGAAGGTTATAAGCAATTATTCTAAAATTAAAAGCTTAGAAAAATATCACCAAAAAATTAATGAAAAATACTTATCGATTAGGATGTAAAAAGCAAAATAAAATAAAATGCCGATAAACCACCACTAAATGATAGTGATTATTGCAGGCGCTGAAGCTAACTCAATATTATCAACTTAATAACTGTGTAATAAAAATCATATTAAAAATTAAAATAAAACAAACATGATAATCTGAATAGGTACTCCGACCAACAATTTTTGATAAAATTTATTAGTACTTCCAAATACTTTATCGAGCCCCATAATAAAAACACATACAAAATAGTAATTATGATCCTTGAGGCTCAGGATCATAATCTTGAGGGACACCAAAATCAATTGGCATGACACAGCTCACATAGACAACGATCTGCATCTTAATTTGATATGTAGAGACTAGAGTCTTAAGAGGTCAGGAGTGACCATTTAAGGCACAACTACTGATCTTTCCCTGTCTGGCATAGAGAAGAATGATGAAAATTTAAGACACCAGAAAACATTTAGTTCAATAGACGAATGGACCAGGCGAACTTTAGTCTTCCTGGCCGTCAGAACAGATGTAGATGCGACCGTAAATTGACAGGAAGCTGCCAAGAATTCAAGCAGGATTCAGAAGAGGATGGGGAATGAAGGATGTCATTACTGACAATGACACACATGAGGAATTATAGTTGTAAGGCATTTACCTCATTTATATGAAGAAAACTGTAAATCTTTATAAAATACATAAAAGAAGACTTGAAATAACACAAAAATATAAAATACTTGAATGGGAAGATGAACTGTACATGCATTCAGCTTTCCTAAAATTATCTTCCATGCAATTCTAACTAATATCTAAATAAGAACAGCAAAAACTGCATGTGTATGTGTAAATGGAAGCCAATGATTTTAGTTTGTGGGCAAGAATAAACTGGTAAAAAATACCAAATGAAATCTGAAAAGGAGAATAGAAAGAAGGGAGGAGAGTATTTTCATATATTAAAGCATAACCTAATTTTTAATACTTAAAATGTTACTATACAAAGATGAGGACATGAAAAATATCAGTGATCAAATAGAATTCCCCAAACTAATTCTTTATTTCAATATATGCAGCATCATCAATCAGTGAGGAAGGCAGTAACTAATAAATAAATGCAACTAGAACTACCCAAACATAAAGGAACAAAAGATTTTCGCATCATGCCATTTAGCAGAAAGAAATTCCAAATGGATTATGTATTTTTAAAACTGCACAAAAGTATCCAGAAGAGAGTAGAATTACATCCAGGTATGCATCACTTAATATTTATGATGCATTCTATGAAACAGGGCATTATGTTATTTGGCTGATGTGTGGAACTATTTTAAGATTTATGTGAATCTGCTTCCAATTCTCATCTTGCTGCTGCTGCTGAGTACTAGGAGAGGCTGGAGGAACTGCAATGGCTGCAGCAGAAGCTGAGAGGCTATTTACTGATAAGAACAAAGACTATACAGCTTTCATTTTGGATTATACTTCAACACAGAGAAAGCAAAAATCCTCACAGCAAGACCAAAAGATTGAAGTTGCTAAGGATTATGTATTACTTGAATCCTTTGGGACAATGGAATTTCACTGCATGACTTTCTATCTATTGTCTTTGTTAACTCCTACAAAATGACTAAGTGGAAACATGTAAATAAGGTTTATGGAACTCTTGTGGGGTCTGGCTAATTTTGCCAGTCCATCGGGTATACAGGAAGTCATCTCAGAAGCAGGAATGAAAAGAATCTCACAACCATCAAGAAAGAAAAGTCACGAATGAAGTGCATCTTTTGGCCCTGGAGATTCCTGCTCAGAAAAAGGCACTGCGGCACCAGCAGCAGCAATGGAAGTAGCACTGAGAGAAGGGGCGAGAACAGCGGGCTTTCTGGTCCATGAGACAAGGGAAGCTCAGTGCTTACACATGAGGCTGGATTGAACAGTGAGCGCACTTTGCACATTTATCAGCACTGGGAGTTTTTGTAATGCTTGCTGGGGCAGGGCAGAGAAACAGGGCTGCATGGCTGAGAGGCCAAGGACCAGAAGGAAAGTCTGGAGAAGGGAAAGTCTGGATAAGCTGTGGACAAAAGAACCATGTCCCTAAAATGTCAGATCCCAACTAGTATTCCCTCGTAAATGTCATTATCATGCTATATTTCCTTATGTCATAATCACGAATACTGTGCTGCCTGTTGAGTTGTGTGTGACCACTGTGACAGACTATGGTGCCCACAGAGAAGTAGAGTGCCATGGGAAAGACAGGTGGATGTCTGAAGAGGCAGAAAAGGTTGGAGGTGGAGTCATATCTAATAGAAATTGGTCTTAGGATGATGTAGAATTGGAATTTCATCCCCATTATGAAGTCAAAGGAACTCGTTCATGAAGCAGCAATCAAGAAATCTGTTGCAAAAGATGTCTTTAAAATGTTAAAGAGCGAAGCTAACACTTGTACTAGACCCAAGCCATGGCATTTTCAATCACCTCACAGGCATGTGAAAGCTGGTCAATGTATGAGGAACACAGAAAAATCAATGCACTTGAATTTTGGAGATGGTGAAGAATACTGAATATACCATGGACTGCTAGAAGAATCTACCACTCATCTATTAGTTTGTCATACTCTGGTGGCTTGTGTGTTGCTATGATGCTAAATGCGATGATATCTTCTACTGGTATTTCTTTTTTTTTTTTTAATTTATTTTTTGGTATTTCAAATATCAGCAGAGTCACCCAGGGTGAACAGGTTTCAGTGGAGTTCCAAGGTAAGAACAGATTAGGAAGACAAAATAGGCATGGTTTCAAATCAGTAAAGGTGTATGTAAAGGCTGTATACTTTCATCATACTTATTTATTCTGTATTTTGAGCAACTAATTCAAGAACTTGGATTATCTGAAAAAGAACATGGCATTAGGATTGGAAGAAGGCTCATTAATAACCTGAAATATGCAGAAGTCACAACCTTGCTGCTGAAAGTGATGAAGACTTTAAGTACTGGCTGATAAAAATCAAAGACTGCAGCCTTCAGCTATGGATTGCAGCTCAATGTAAAGAAAACAAAAATACCCACCACTAGACAAGTAGACAATGTCATAATGCACAAAGAAAAGATTACAGTTGTCAAGGATTTCATTTTATTTGGCTCCACAATCAGCACTCACGTAGTAAAAATGATAAAGTCAGATATAGTATTGCATTGGGCAAATCTGTTGCACAAGACTTCTCTAGAGTGTTGAAAAGCAAGGATGTTACTTTGAGGATGAAGTTGAACCTGACCCAAAGCAATGGTGTTTTCACTGGCCTGTTAAAACATGTAAAAGCTGAGCAATGAATAAAGAAAACTGAAGAAGAATTGATGCATTTGAATTATGGTGCTGGCAACGAATCTGGAAATTACCATTGACTGCCTGAAGAATAAACAAACGTGCTCTGGAAGATGTAAACTTAGATTCCTCCTTAGAAGTGAGAATAATACTTCATCTTACACACCTTGGACATGGTATCAGGAGAGACCAAGCTCTGGAAAAGGATACCATACTTGGTAAAGTAGAGGGTCAGCAAAAAAAGGGAAGACATTCAAGGAGATGGATTGACACACACTCTAGACTATGCATAGCTATGCAAGGATGGGAGCTGGTATGAAATACAAAGGAAACACGATATGCAAAGGTTCTAGAACCCAGAAAAAGTAGATGCCATAATAATTTAATATTGTGGAACATTATCAATTTAATCTTAATTCACTCACTTTGACATACATAGTATTATTATTAAACAAGCAAACCTTGTTTTAATGTGCTTTGCTTTACAGCACTTCAAAGATAACGAGTAGTCCCCTGGTGGGGACTGAGCATGATAGTAGGCCAGGAGGAAAGTCAAGGGAAATAGCGGAAAGAGCTGGAAGGCAAGGGCATTTATAGAGGGCTAGATAAAGGCATGTACATATGCAAATGTGTTTATATATGAGGATGTGCATATATTTATAGGGTTAGTATTAAGGTAGCAGAAAGACATTGGGCCTCCACTCAAGTACTCCCTCAATGCAAGAATACTTTCTTCTATTAAATTGGCATTCTATGATGCTCACCTTCCCAACACAACCACTGAAGACAAAGTGGGTGAGTAAGCAAATGTGGTAAAGAAAGCTGATGGTGCCCGGCCATCAAAAGATATAGTGTCTGGGGTCTTAAAAGCTTGAAGGTAAACAAGCGGCCATCTAGCTCAGAAGCAACAAAGCCCACATGAAAGAAAGCACACCAGCCTGTGTGATCACGAGTTGTGGAGGGGATTAGGTATAAGGCACCATCAGAACAAAAAATCTTACCATAGTGAATGAGGGGGGGGAGTGTGGAGTGGAGACCCAAAGCCCATTTGTAGGCCACTGGAGATCCCCTTGCATAGGGGTCTCCGGGAGGAGACGAGCCAGTCAGGGTGCGATGTAGCAACGATGAAAAATACAACTTTCCTCTAGTTCCTAAATGCTCCCCTCTCCCACCATCATGATCTGAATTCTACCTTGCAAGTCTGATTAGACCAGAGGATGTACACTGGTACAGATAGGAACTGGAAACACAGGGACTCCAGGCCGGATGATCCCCTCAGGACTAGTGGTGTGAGTAGAGGGAGGGTGGTTGGAAAGGGGGAACTGGTTACAAGAATCTACATGTGACCTCCTCCCTGGGGGGACGGACAACAGAAAAGTGGGTGAAGGGAGACGTTGGACAGGGCAAAATATGACAAAATAATAATTTATAAATTATCAAGGGTTCATGAGGAAGGGGAGAGCGGGGAGGGAGGGGAAAAATGAGGAGCTGATGCTAGGGGCTTAGGTGGAGAGCAAATGTTTTGAGAATGATGTGGGCAATGAATGTACAAATGTGCTTTACACAACTGATGTATGTATGGATTGTGATAAGAGTTGTATGAGCCTCTAATAAAACGATTTAAAAAAAAAAAAAGAATTTCCCTCCCAAGGCAACTTCTCCAGAGACATGCCAGCCCATACCTATTATTATCTCATTCCACACCAACGTCTCCAGAGCAACAGGAGTCTCTTCTAAGTATTTACATGACAGAGGTTTGAGGAACCCTGGTGGCTAGGGATCTAAGGACTCAGCTGCCAACCACAGAGGGTCTGCATCTCTGACACTCCTCCCAGGCAAATTCCTCATACATATGTCCAAGGGAGACAGTCCTAAGTAATTTTAAAATTCCTTCCTGACAGATTTCTTCTCCTTCCTGATAGATTTCTTTGCCCCACTAAACATCTTTCCTTCCCATCCAGCATAATTAGGTCATCTCTAACAGCCCTCCTGGGGGAGCCCAGGTATGGTGGTTAAGCACTCAGTTGCTAAGTGAAAAGTTGGCAGTTCGAGCCCCACCAGCTGCTCTTTGGTAAAAACATGTGACAGTCTGCTTTTCTAATGATTACAGCCTTAGAAATCTTTTTTTTTTTTTAGCCTTAGAAATCTTATGGGACAGTTCTACTCATCCTGTCAAGTTGCTAAGAGTCAGACTTTACCTGACGGCAATTATTTTATTACTTCTATCAGCCACTATTGGTACCTAGTATAAATACTAGATTTGAAATGGCAGCTACGTTCCATTCTACACTAAGCAGAGTTTCTAAATTCCTATCAAGCCTAAACAGAAGAAAAATTAAACTTCACAAATAAAAAGATACCTTCAGTCCTTCCAACTCATTTTCCAGCTGCTTGGAATAGTGCTCACTCTGTTCACGCAATTTCCTGTCTTTAGATGCTTCAGCAGTCAGAGCTTCTGTATGCACTTCCAGCTTTAAAATAAGAAAAGCAGATTTCATGATTATAATTGGTTTCCAAACAAAATAATGTTTGCCTTATGGATATGTACCTTGTGATAGGAAAATAACTCAAACGTAAAATTACTAAAAAACATTACCAAACTAAAAAATAACTAACTTTTACAAATTAAAGAGTGAATATACATTATTTCACTAGTCTGAAAAAACAGCTTTAATAACTACAAAATTTGCCTGACTACTAACCTCTTTTTTGGCTCTTTCTGTTCTGCGTAGTTCTTGCCTTAAGCTTTCAACTTTTTGTACCACCAGGTCCACCTCTTCTTCCTTATCTCGGACATGGCGAGCAAGTTTCTGTTTTTGGGTGTGCAATTCTGTTAGTCGCTCATTGATCTCCATGAATTCCTGCATGGCCAGTTTCCTCTGACAGTGTGCATCTTTCAGCTCTTTGGACTGGTTTTTTAATCGCTCACTAGCCTGGACTAGTTCCTACAGTTTTGCAAAAAGAATATAAGTTACCAATTTTGCAATCTAGAGACCAAATATGGCCATCAAGTTGGTTATTATGAAATCAGTAAGAGCCATAATTATTCATCTCAAGATAAAATGAAATGAAATGAGCTACTTTACAATGATAGGGCATGGTGACCTGGTAATATTCTCAATTCCTTATGCAAATGAGAAGGAACAGCTGATTTAGCTTCCTCTACTGTAGTTTCTACAGATAAAGACTATAGGGGTACTATATGGTCAAAATGAAGATTTTATAAAATCAAGTGGAATTTTTCAGTTTCTTTGATTTTCTTCTAAATCACACTGGATTACATATGATGAAAACAAGGATTTCCCTTGATGTGGGGCTGGGCCAACAGCAAAGACAGAAAGCTAAACCTGAAAGTCCCAAATTGCACTTAGACTCTTAGAAGGGGCTTACGTGGACTCAAGTCCACAGAACCACGTGCATTCCTGCAGAAGGAACTATAAATCTTCATTCAGGAAAAAGAGTCTTAATGAAATTCCATCTTTTTATAGACATGAAGAATAAGCAAATATAAGCACTCTGTCACACACACACACACACACACACACACACACTCCCTAAATATTTAAAGAACTACCACAAGCAAATTATATAGAAAACAATAAAAGAAATATACTACAAAGGCACTTAGATATTAAAACGATCAGCTATGTATGAATGCCATCAATGAATGCCATCTATGAATTATTTGAAAAAAATAAAAATGAAAAAAATGATCAAAAAAATTTTTCCCAAAGGCTAGGCAATACGTTGTCTGTAAGAAACATAAGGGATCAGGTAGCAGACACCAAAGAACAAAAACCATCATTGTGTGACCACCTTCCCCACATAAACGCTGAAGACGAATGTGTGCATAAGTTAAGTATGGTGAAGAAGGCTGATGTTGTCCGGCTATCGAGACCTATAACGTCTGGGGACTTAAAGGCTTGAAAGTAAACAAGTGGCCATCTAGCCCAGAAGCAACAAAGCCCACATGAAAGCAGCACACCAACATGTGTGATCATGAAGGGCCGAAGGGACCAGGC